GGTAGAAAGCAATTTATTGTGGACCCACTCAGGCCAATGTTGCTGCCAATTTAAATTCAAATTCAAATTCAAAGTTTATTCTCTATAAAGATTACAATGTTGAATTTACAGAATTTGGTTGTTGTGTGGTTTACATGTAGTTAAATAATGATTACAGAGTGTACCACTAGAACGCCTAGCATGGCTAGGCATTTCGGGCAAACTTAGTTTAATTCTTTTTTTTTAAATATTACAAATTATGAGGTAAGTTGGTATTATGGCTAAGTGACTAAATACTAGTTTGTGAGTTTAGCAATGTGAATGCTTTTGTTTTGGCACAGTACATAGTTTCAGTATTGGAGTATCATAGGATTCATTTATTTTAAGATTGAGATTAATATTTCTGTTTATGGTCAAAGGGGTGAGTGAGTGTAAGTGGGAACCACCGGGTGGTATTCGTGTAGTTTTTTGACGGGGTGTATCAGGGAGTAAGATGTTTTTTAAGGGTTTGTTTTAAAAGGGATGAAATTTCCCCCATTTTAGATTCTCAGGGGGGGTGTTCCAGATTTAGGGCCCTTTGACATACATTAAATTTTTTGTAAAGGTTTGTGGACAGGGGGGAATTCGTAGAGATGTTTTGTCCGGGTGTTATCCCTTTGGGGTTCTGTCAAAAACTTCAAAAAAGCGTTTTAGGTCAAGGTGGAATTGGGTTTAAGGCCCTGTAGATGTAGTTGCACAGTATAAGTGTGGATGTACTGAACGGGGAGTAAGTTTGATCTATAAGAGTGGGGGGGTGTTTTGCCGGGGGGGATTTTGATTATTCTTACTGCAGCTTTTTGGGGGGTTATTTTTGGTTTAGGTTGTTGCTGCGTTGATCCCCAAGCACAAAAAACATAGGTGAGGTATGGTTTTAATAAGGGGAATGTGAAAAGGGGCATTTTGGGCACGTGTACGTTCTTGGAGGGATCCCAACTGGGAACTTTTTTGGTTATGTTGGATATGGGTCTGAAATTCAGGTTGTTTTTCAAGGTACAGGCCTAGGGAAATTTCCCTCTTATTCTGGTAATTAGAAAGTTGTCGTCTTAATGTTGATTTGGCATCTCTGCCCTTTCTACCAAACATAATTAGTGGTTTTTTTCTGTTTTAACGTAGTTTATTGGGTGTCACCAAAATCGATATTTTGATCAGCTCCTCGTTAACAATGGTGTTGAGGGTGGCAAGATTAGGGTGAGAGATGACATAAGCCGTGTCGTCAGCAAAGAGAATGGGTTTCAGGTGTTGGGATACGTTTGGAAGATCATTGATGTATATGAGGAAGAGCAGGGGACCAAGGACACTTCCCTGCGGAACTCCAGTATCAAGTGGCCGTGTTGTTGATGCTGTGTCTTTAATGGTGACATACTGATACCTTGGCAGACGATGCACCATCCCCCCAATGAAAAGCAGGGGTGTCACTAGCACGTTAAGAGACCATACAATAAGTGTCAGGGGCCCAAGACTGTTCAACTGCCTCCCAGCACACATAAGGGGGATTACCAACAGACCTCTGGCAGTCTTCAAGCTGGCACTGGACAAGCACCTAAAGTCAGTTCCTGATCAGCCGGGCTGTGGCTCGTACGTTGGTTTGCGTGCAGCCAGCAGCAACAGCCTGGTTGATCAGGCTCTGATCCACCAGGAGGCCTGGTCACAGACCGGGCCGCGGGGGCGTTGACCCCCGGAACTCTCTCCAGGTTAACTCCAGGTATTAGTAAGGTAAGATTTGAAATAAGCAAGTGCATGGCCTCTTATACCATAATGGTCAAGTTTGTGGAGTAGGATGTCGTGGTCTACTGTGTCAGAAGCTTTTCTTAGGTCAATAAAAATTCCTAGTGGATATACCTTATTTTCCAATGCTGTGTACAGCAGATCTAGCATTTTTATGATTGCATCATTAGTGCTTTTATTTTTCCTGAATCCAAATTGGCAGGGGTTGAGTATGTTTTGTGTTGTTATAAATGAATATAGTCTCCTGTGCACGAGTTTCTCAAAGATTTTGGATAGCAATGGTAAGTTTGATATTGGCCTATAGTTGTTTAAGTCTGTAGGGTCACCACCTTTATGTATTGGTGTGACCCTTGCCATCTTGAGTAGTTTCGGGAAGGTGCTAGTTTCTAGTGACTTGTTAAAAAGTAATGAAATAGCATGCGAAAGGATATGGGCCGCTCGCTTGTACAGTAATGGTGGGACATTAGACAGATTCCTGAGTTGTTTTTAAGTGACTTTATAATCTCGGCGACTTCCGAGGGCTCAGTTGTGCAAGATAGAAGGAATTTGGGAAATTCCCATCTAGGTAGTCCCCGGCATGGGCATTGGTATGTGGGATTTTATTTGCAAGATTAGATCCTATGGTTGAGAAGAAGTCGTTTGTCTTGTTAGCTGTGTCAGTGGGATGTAGTGGTGTTTCATTAGGTTTAGTTAGGACAATATTCTTGGTTTTTCTCAGTTTGTGGGTCCCTAGAATCTGAGAGAGTGTTTTCCAGGTCTTTTTTATGTCTCCTCTAGTGTCTGTGAATCTACTGGAGTAGTATAGTTGTTTGGCTTTCTTTATTACTTTGGTGAGGACTGATGAATAGTGTTTAAGAATATCTGTGTGTATTATGCCCTGTCTATATTGCTTTTCATATTGGTGTTTCTTGTCAATGGATTTCAGAATGGTACTGGTTAGCCATGGGCAACCAAGCCATTTGTTTGTGATCTGTTTCGTTTTTATAGGACAATGTTTGTTGTATAGTCTAAGTTGGTTGAAAAGTTGAGGGATTACTACAAAATGATCTGAGAGAGGCAGACTACTGGAAGGTTATGACCTCTGCTGCCGAGCAGCAGTCTGCCCATTTGTTATCCCAAAGCAACTTGTCGAGGGACTCAAACAGAAAAAAACATTTTTATGTTTACTAGAAATGCAGCATAACACACTGAATACTAGCATTGCTTTAATGCTGAATGAGCTCACTTTGAAATATTTAAAAAGAATATTTCTGAGGGTTATTTACTCATTAATAATAGGTATAATACAACTCTATAATCTTATATTTAATGTAAAAAAGATCTTATGTATTAAAAATAATACTTCACAAATATTACAAAAAGTAAACTTTACTTTTCCTTCAATTAAGATTTATTGAATTATCTACCTTAAGTTGAGCGCACTGCTTTTTTGGAATTCAAGCACACACATCAGATGAAAAATCAGATTATATTTGGTAAAGGGTAATGAAGTTGAATATGTTAATAGTATATACTTCACCAAAATATTTCCCCAACTTAATTTTTTATTTAAATTTTTTTTTGTTATAATATATGCAATAAAATCATTAACATTTTCTTTCTTAAGTGATACTATTTTATTAATGAATAACTACTGTGCAACATTAATAATTTACTAAAAGTAACATGGTTTTAAAAACTTTGCAAGATAAATATACACAAATTTATTAAGGGGTCAAATACTAAGGGAAAATAATTAACCAAATGCTTATAAATTATGCTATGTAGCTTTTAAAAAAATAAACCCTTTTGTATAAATAATTCATGGAGAGTACCACAACAACACAAGTACTATTTCAGTAAGTGAACTTATGTCCACTATTGTTGAAGGTTGGGTACAACTGTCAGAGCAATAAGGTGAACTTTAGAAAAAA